AGCTGTTCCTCCTCCCTTGTGTTTCCATACTTGATGGTTCTACCTAGGTTGCCCTTCAGGTCCAATTTGATGGTTCACATTTAAAAAAAAAATGTTAAGTTTGTATGTACCATCAAGTTGGAATCAACTTGATGCAATGCATTTTCAGGTAGTAAATCATCCAGGAGGAAACTACAATCTTTCTCCCACAGAGCAGTTGATGGATTCAAACCATGTGCCTTTGGGTTAACAGCATGACTCCTCACCACTAAAACTGTTGTTGTTGTGGTGTGCCGTCAAGTCACCTGTGACTCATGGTGACCCTATGTACAACAGCTCTGAAGCCTGCCTGGTCCTGAGTCTCACTGACTCTGACACACCTATGTCCATTACCTCAGTTACTGTGCCAATCCATCTCATCCAGGGTCTTCCTCTCCTCTCCTGCACTATCCCTCCACATTTCCAAGCATGATATCCTTCTCCAAGGACTGGTCCCTCCTGCCCACATGCCCAAAGTTTGTGAAATAGAGACTCAAAATCCTAGCCTCCAAGGAGAGACTTGTATCACCCTCTCCAAGACAGACCTGTTTGTTTTCTTGGTGGTCCATGGTATGCTGAAGATTCTTCTCCAGAACCACAACTCATTGGCATCAATTCTTCTTCTGACATCCATAGTCACTGTCCAGTTCTCTGAGCATAACAAGTAAGTAAAAAGGCCATGGCCATTGCACATGCGTGCGGCATCCATGCCCCCCCCCCTCGAAGGCGATGACAAGGGGGGCCCAAGATGGCAGCCAGCCACTATGAGCGTTTTCTTAAGCTGTGTGATGAGTGGCCAGTGGACAAGACCAAGTCGGGCCGGGACTTGGGCACTTACCTGTGGCAGCAGGTAGCACAGGCCTTTCGGGAAGGAGAGAATACGCAGATTGTGGAGGCTGAGACCTGTGATCAGATGTGCAAGAGTTTAGCATGACTCCATTCAAAATATTAGAAATACAAGTACCCATGCCCCAGAGAAACAATCTTCAGCGGCCTGTCCTTGGAAGAATACAAGCTTATTCCGTCTACAGAGGCCTTGGAAGAATTTAAGGAAATGAATAAAGACATGTGGAAGAAACTGCAGGAGAAGTTTGCCCAAAAAAAAATCCTGAGGACATGTACAGGCTGGTCCTTATCTCACCCACATACATGAGTGTGGTTGCTTGTATGTTAGCATCAGAAAGAAAACTGTCAGTTCTCTCCTGGAAAAAACAAAACAAAACAAAACAAAACAAAAGAAAACCCATGGCTGGATCAGGTACACCTTAGTCTCTAGAGTAATATAATTGCTTGTCAGTACTCTGGAAAGGTCCCTGACAGCAGATTTCCCAGTGCAATTCACCTTTTTATTTCCTGACTGCTGATGCCAAGAATGTTGATTGTGGAGCCAAGCAAGCTGTAATTGTTTACAACTTCAAACTCTTCTCCATCTATCATAGTGCTGCCAGTTGGCCTGGGGGTGAGAATCTTTGTTTTCTTGACGTTGAGCTTCAATCTAGAAGCCCTGTCAGGATAATGTTCAAGCACTTTAGGTGATAACTAAAAGGTTGATGGTTTGAACATACTCAGAATCTCCTTGGCAGAAAACCTGGTGATCTGCTCAAGTAAAGGGTACATCCCAGAAAATCCTGTTGTTGTTAGGTGCCTTCAAGCCAAGCGCAACTCAGATCAATCCTATGAACAGCTCACATCAATCCTATGAACAGCAGATTTGAACGTCTTCCTATCCCATATCATCCTCACATTCTCTGACACACTTGAGCCTGTTGCCCCAGTCATTGTATCAACTCACCTGGTTGAGGGTCTTCCTCTCTTTCAATCACCCTTCCACCTTCCTAAGTATGACGTCCCTCCTCTCCAGGAATAACCTCTCCTAGCAACAATACCAAAGTTCATGAGATGCAAACCTTCTGGGGCAGCTGTGTTATCACGTCGTGTCACTATGCGTTGAAAATTTACTCGACAGCACTTAATACTGACAGATAGTACCAAAGACGACTCATTCAGTGTAAATCCAAACTTGATCCTCTTCTCATTTCATTCCTGGCCTTTAACAAGTAGTCCCTGCTATGGGAAAACCAGTACAACTGCTGTATCTCTTTACATAGCTGCCAGAGTGTAGACACACGCCCCCTGGGCAGGTGTGTGTCTGTGTAGGTGGCAGCTGAAGCAATCAATAGCTCCAGTCCTTCTCTGAGGCTTGTCTCGGAAAAAGGTCACTTGGAAAAACTCAGCCAGAGAAGCAGTAACTACGAGCAGACATTCCTCTGAAATGATTGATTCAGCGGACTTTTAAAAGACTTGGCTTCTCCAGCCTCTCAGTTGTAAAATGAAGAGGTTAGACTAGCTTATTTTTAAGGTCCTGGTCTGCTCACAAATTCCTATTGTGTTCTATTTGGGATTTGACTCCCTTGAATAATTGAGTTCTTCCAATTCAGTGACAACTCCACACAATCACAGGATCTTAAAAGATTAAAGAGCATCAAGTTCCTGGATCCCAAGGAAAGGGAGGTGTGCGTGCAACCACTCTGCCTGCTGCTTTGGATCTGGAGCCCTCTAGTGAGTAGGAAGTTGGTGGAAATTTTCCAGTCTGAACTGACAGACTTGAGACAAGTAGCCAACTTTGGAATCTAAGAAGTTGGTTTTTCTAGAAGGAAAATAAAACCATTTCTTTTTAAATTTGAAAGCTAGCAATATGTCATTTTGAAGATGAAGGTGCATCTGATTCAGGCCACTGTATTCTCCTGCTATGCATCAGAAAACTGGACCATGAATAAGGATGACAGAATTGATGCCTTTGAGTTGTGGTGCAGGAGAAGAGTCTCGCATACCCCATGGATTTAAAAAAAAAAACAACCAAAGATATATGTCCTGGAAAGGGTGCAGCCAGAGTGTTCCTGGGAGGCATAGATGGCTACACATCATCTTTCACACTTTACAGACATGTAGCTAGGGTGAGGCTATTCCTTGGTAAAGGACATAATGCTTGGAAAGATGGAGGGTCAGTGAAGAAGAGGAAGACCCTCAATGAGATGTTTGACCCTGTGAATTTATCAAGGGGCTCTAGTGTCTGAGATGCTGAGGATGGCACAGGACAGGACAGGTTTCAGAACAACAACGTTATTTGGGGAGTTCTGGTGCCCTAGTGGAAACTGTGTTGCATTCCCAAAGGTACCTAGTTCGAATCCACCAGCTGCTCTGTGGGAGAGAGATGGTCAATCTCCTACCATGCAATTTACTTCCTCTGAAAATCTGCTGGAGGATCAGTTATAGGTTGGTTCTGACTAAACAGCATACAGCATGTTATCATGGGCACTCTGGCGGCCCACACAGAGTTGCACTGCTAATCTAAAGGCAGAACCTCTCCAGAGGTTCGAATCTACTAGTTCAGCAACTCCATGGGAGAAAGGTGCGTGATCTCCTTATGCGGGACTTCGCATCCTTAGAAACCTGAAGCTGAGTTGGATCTGACTCCCTGGGAGTGAGTCTGCTATGGTATTCTGGGCTGAACACAGGGTAGGATGACATTCTAGGTGAAGGATTTAGTCTCTAAAGTTGAACAAGAAGCAAATGCTGGAGAAAAGGCTGAAAATATTTTGGAAGAACAGAAAGAGGGATAGAAAAGAAAAAAGAAGGGACTAGTAAAAAAAGAAAGTACACAGCTATGTTTGGAGAGAACACCAAATCTATTCTTACAATATTTAAATGCTCATTGCAAGGTGGTGAAAACATATCTGACATTCTTTCATCTCCTCTGTCTCTTCCACCCTCATGTTTAATTGTAGAAGGAGTCTCTTATGAAGGAAAGAAAAGAACTCTTTAAATATTTTAACAAAGGAATGTAATTCAGAGAGTAGGATAGAAGAAGTGAGAAAATAAACAGAAGTCATGAAAGACTCAGATATTCATAAATGCAGAAAGCCACTAAGTCACTTGGATGAATAAAGGGTCCTCAAGTCAGCTGGTCAATGTTGCATCCAGGTGAGTTTGTCCAACAAGAGATGGAGCCCCAGGGCACCACAGATCCATCCCGATTGACAGCCCAAGGCAGGCAGACAGAGACCCAGGGGATGGATCTGTCTCCACTTCCTACCACTAACTTCCACTGCCAAAGTACCACCCAAAGCTAACTAGTCCAAGAGCCTAGGAAACGGACTTGAAGGGCTGACCCCTGTGACCCAGAAAAGGGCAGAGGAAGGGTATGAAATTGTTCTGACTGCAAACTAGCCAAAGGTTGGCAAAGAATGGAAGTTAGGGTGTTAGAGCTAACAAATATTAGCAAGAGATGTCTGTCTCAACCTGTTAATAGAGATATCTGTAGATTATGAATCTGGTCTACTGTATAGAAACAGTTATGCTATGCATTTTTTTAACAAGGTACACCAGGTTTTCATTTTGCACTGGGTCTCCAAAATTATGTAGCTAGAGAGAGCTCTGTTGGCCTAGTGAATAGAAAGTTATGCTACCAGCCAAAGATGGGTGTTTTTAATCTGCAGCCCTCGGGCCTGGTTTTAATTATTTTTGGTCAAACATTCTTCTAAGTGGTATAGCACTGGTCTGTCCATTTGCTATATAGAGGTAACTCATGGTTGCTGTGATGCTAAACACTGTGACACTGATGTGTCAAATGTGATAATGGTTACCCATGGTGGACTGTGTTTGGTGGAGCTTCCCTATTAAAACAAGCTAGCAAGTAGGAGTGGCATCCACTTCCAAAATAGCGTGCCTCTGGAAACTCCATGAACATGGAAAAACAATGAAAGTTAAACAAGTGTGCACATCTTTTGTTTATAGGGTCACTATGAGTAGTCTATGACTCAATGGCATCTAACAACAATAGTCTTGGGGATCAAAGATGGGCAATCTCTTCCCCTGTGCTGAAAATCTGCTTGAGTGTCAGCCATGAGTTGATTCCAATTCAATGGCAGTGAGACTTGGTTTTCTTTAAAAAAAAAGTTTCCATTATTAATAGTAGAGTGAGTTAAAACAAGTCCAAAGACCAGGTACATTTATGTTGTTGTTGTTGTTTGGTGCCATCGAGTCATAGACGACTCATAGAGACCCTATGAACGAAAAGCCTGAGCACCGTTCATAGAGTTTCCGAAGGCAAGTCGTTTCGGAAGTGGATGCCACTCCTGCTTCCAAGCTTGTTCTAATTGGGGAGCTCCACCAAACACTGTCCACCATGAGTAACCACTATCACATTTGGCATACCAGTGTCACATTTATAATTCAGGAATATTCAAATATGCAAGTAGAAGCAAAAATGGCTTCTTCTACAGTGGCGAGTCAACTAAATTTCTATGGGGCAGAATTTCCTTGTATTTAATTACCTTTCCTTGTTATCCCTCATCTAGAGGAACTCGGGGACCCTGCACAAAGTGAGTTAAATCGTCAGCCCCAAGGCATCTTTAATCCATCAGCTGCTCCAAACCATAAAGATGGATCATCTCTTTCCATTGCAATTTCCAACCCCACTGGAGGGTTGCTATGAATCCACAACTAATACAAGAGCAACAAGTTAGCCTTTGACTTCTACCACTCATATTTTTACACACACACACACACACACACACTCAAAATAACTCACTCTCACTAACTTGGAACCGATTCACAGCTGACACTTGACTGGGTTGTAAGGCTGGAAATCTCATGGAAAGATACCCTATTTCTCCAGCAAAGCCACTGGTGGATTTGAACAACCAGAGGGATGCAGCATTTCAATTAGAAGCCTACTCCCAACCAACAAGGCCACCAGAGCTCAGTGTTCTTTATATGTGGAATTCTAAAATAACTTCCATAGAATCAAAATCAGAATCGTGAAAGGGAGTCTACACACCATTTTCTATGAAAACATACATTTCCCCCTATAGAAACAGTGGTACAAGATAAAGTTGGTTAAATAATTCAAGGGTTTTATGAGAAACGGTCCCTTACTCATCAAAGAGTTCTCTTTTTCTTTTTTTTTTTTTCCATTGCTTTCAGGCTGTGAGCAAAGAAACTTGGGAAAGGTTAATCTTGAAAGCCTGAGTTTGCTATTTTTAGAGAAACATTATTCGACAGCAGGGGATTATTTAAAGCAGCACAAGTACGGATGGAAGCATAAACAAAATATAGGAATCTGAGGCAAACCATGTCACGAAAGAGAACTGGAGGCCCACAGTCACAGCCATGGCTGACAAATAATAAAAAGTACCATCAAGTAGATTTAGTGAACGTGGAAGTGGGGCATGAAGGATAGAAAAGATGATCATGATCTAAAGCATTTTTAAAAGTGTTTTTACCTTTTCCAAGTGTTTTTACTTAAAAAGAGTTGTGTGCATGCATACAAGCCCATTTTGCACATCTTGAATTTGAGGTGCTTCTTGAGGACAGGCACGTGGAAAATCCAAGTCCAGCCACCCAGAGGGACCTGGAAGCAAAGCCTGACTTTCTTCTGGGGGAAAGTAGCCACTGTAAACTCTATGGACCACAGTTCTACCCTGACCCACACAGAGTGGCCATGAGTCACAGCCAACTGCGGGGCGACTGGTTTACTGGTAGGTAACTGGCTTATCGGGGTGAGATGCATCACGAAGGTGGCTGGGGAAGGACCCCAAAAGCTGTCTTGTCATGATGGTGAGAGGCGATCAGTGGGCAGTGGTCGTAGTGGCTGGAGGGGTTACACGGTGCCATGCAGGTCTCTGCAGGAAGGAAGTACAATGGAGATCCACAGAGAGCCCTGGGCAGCGACACCCCTCGACCCTGCCACTGACCCAAGAGGGGCTTACCACGTGGACTTAACCAGACTTAAGAGAGCCAGCGAGGCCCTTCCGCCCCACAAGGCTCTTCGAGCCCTCCGAGGACTTTGTCCGAGAGGCCCTTGCGCCCTGCAAGGGCTTTCTAGCCACG